GTGCATCCCCCGGGGCGGTGCTACAGACTGAAGTGTATTTCGACCATTCCAAACGTGGGGCATAACATGTTCTTATACTCATTAGAATTGTAAATGGGCTGAATCGTCAATGGCATGCTCATAACTGTACCTGCATGCATACGGGGAACTGCTGATTTTTGTTTTCTAATCCTTACTATCGTCATTTCCCCCGAGGGAGAGTCAAAAAGTAATGCAAGTTGTAAGCTATTTTGCGCAATATTGCATCAAATTAAATGAAATTCAGCTCATAAGTACTTGCACATGTACTTTTGAACCCAAACTGTTAAAATTTAAGTTTCTTTGATTTTTGCCTGTATGACATCACATCAAAATGGGTAAGGAGGTAAAGAGCTGTGATTTAATTTCTTGTTTTAGAAGGAGAATCCACCGTTAATATTCAAAAGAGACTTTGAAATGTTTCAAGGACCAAGGTCTAGATTTTGGCACTGTATACAAGTGGGTTTGAGCAATGGACAAGAAGAAGAGGAAGAGGTGTCCACATGTTTGTCAGACAAGCATCGTCCCGAAGAATTAGCCGGAAAAATCATGGCAACAGTGTTTTGAGACGTTCCTAGCGTGTTTCTCACGTATTCTTTTTACCACGAGGAACAACTGTCAATTCTGAAGCCTACATTGAAACCCTGAAAGGACTGAAAGCGAAACTTTGACAAGTAAGACCAAATTTTAACATGGAAAGAGGTTTGGTTTTTGCCCTATGACAATGCGCTATGACAATACTAGAACCAGGGAGGTAATCACCCCGTTTGGGTGGAAAACAATGCCACACCCAGCTTATTCTCCGGATTTGGCTCCTTCACACTTCCACCTGTTCGGTCCTAGAAAAGAACAATTGAGAAGTCAACACTATAGTAACGATAAAGAAATCAAGACAGCTGTACCTCCAAGGCCAACCTGCTCAGTTTTACAGAGCTGGCATATGTGGACTTAGTAAAAGGTGGACAGTGGCTATGGAAAATAATAGAGACTATGTTGAGAAATAAAAATCGGATCCTCAGATGTTCTCCTTCAATTTGAGGTATGATAGTTGTCAGTGCGTTCTTTTTTCTTTAAGTTATAAGTGAACTTGCATTACTTTTTGATTCCCGTAGTAGGCCTACTTTACATAATGTACTATGTTTGTCACTCTCTTGTGACCCGCTATTTTCTGGGGTGCCTTTATAGTCGAAGTAGACTTTGTGCTGTTGAAGCAAGAGAGGTGAGCAGAGTAACCCTGATTCCGTGTATGGACTTCTCTGTTGGCATCTACCCCTTTGCGCTCACATGACCTTATGCAGTTGCGAGCGCCGTAAAAACTCTACTAAAACTAAAACAAAAAATCCTCAACGTGACCATTTTGAACATCATAATATTAATGCAAAATATATGAAGTGTTGAAATGATGTAATTATTAGGCGATCAAACATTTTTGTACGTGTCCTAGTAACTGGGAGTCATACACCTGTGCACTTTTTTGTAGAGCAAGCAGACGACAAGAGATGCTAAAAATACTTCGTAAAGACTTAATTATCTGTTCATATGGCTATGACAACAAAATGCATTCTTGAAAAATAAAAAACAAATACATAATTCACAAGGCTTTGATTACTTTGAAATTTAATTAGTCTTTGTTTCACATAATTGATCGGTTAATTAGAGTATTTGAACAGGAAACAAATTGAACGCAACTGACAGCTGAAGTATATTATGTGATTTAGAATAATTTCATTCTCATGGCAACATGTCAAACAAAAATCTAACAAGAAAAGTGCGTAATGTGCACATGAAATGGTTAGCAGTTGCAGTGCTTGTAACGAGACTTATTTCCAGTCGTTTTTATTGGATGCATGTTTGAGATTTGTGTTCTTTCATGAATATCTGGCAAATACTGGACAAAGCAGAGTAGCCTGCAGAAACGTTCTTTTCTTGCTCATTTTGAAAAGACACGCGATTTTGTTTGTATTGTTTTTGTTTTGCATCTCAGGACAAACTCAGACTGTGATAAAAGCAGGCTCTAGTTTCTGAAATTCCAGGAGCAGTGATCGTTTTGTTTCTTTACACAGCCTCAAGAATGGTCAGACTGTCTTTCACTTTCACTAAGCTTTCCGCAAGTCTGAGCAGGTCAGTAAAGACATTTTTACAAGTGAGATCTAATTCCTCCTTTTATCTCCCCTGGAATCAGCAGCAAGTTGAGAGACTGTATTGAAACCTACTCCAGTCTTCCTTTCAGGGTCGGGCCTGGGACTTGTCGATTCTGTCCAAATAACCTAAAAGTGTTGATAAAGGCATTAAACCCATACAATCCTTCTCCTTGTTGTTGTTGTTGTTGTTGCTGCTGTTGTTGTTGTTGTTGTTGTTGTTGCTGTTGTTGTTGTTGTTGTTGTTGTTGTTGTTGTTGTCGTTGTTGTTGTTGTTCTTCTTCTTCTTCTTCTCCTTCTTCTTCTTCTTCTTCTTCTTCTTCTTCTTCTTCTTCTTCTTCTTCTT